CTTGGGGATGTCTGCGGGCCTTCCAGAGCTCAGCGAGGACGTCTCGATCGCGCTCCCTCGCAAGCCCTGCCTCATCCTCACATTATCCTGCTCCTCCCCTCCTCGCCAGTTAAAACGTTGGGTCCTTTATGCTGAGACTTTCCGGGGAAACCTGTATTATCCCCCCCAGAGCCCCGCACTTGTTTTTATCTCTGGGGCATTATTCTCAGGGGTACTTGGCTAGCTTCCTCGTGAAGCGGCGTGGCTGACCTGAGAACCCTCGAAGACCGCACATAGGCGACAACAAGGCGAAGCACACCCACACACACACACACACACACACTTGTTTCTTCCTGGCCGGTTGATCAACTCAGCGAGGGCGTTAGCGGGTTGCGCCAGGAGAATTACCACCGAACATATGCCGATGGGGGGCAACCGTCAGACGGTTGCGCGTGCAGAGAAACGACGTGCTCCAATGACAGCAGCGAGGCATATAGCCCGCGTGGGAGCCACAGAACGCCCGTAAGGGGCGAGCGGCACGACCGGCGCCAGCGCCGATGTGGACGACCCAGCAGAGCACAGCAAGGACAGACACTTACACACAAACACACACACACACACGCTAAAGGTACACACATGGACACTTTGCACTGGCGGACATTTTCTCATACGAGGCGGCCGTGTACGAGTCAGGCCGCAGCAGCACCAAGCAGCTGACGCGCACGCACCTGGGCAGATCGGAAAAAGCAGGGGATGCAGGGGAGAGAGGGGAGAGGAGAGGGGGAGACGGGGGGTGTGCGGGGGAGGAGGAGAATGGGGGAGAGAGGCGGGGCAGAAAAAATCGGAGGGGAGGGAGAGAGAGAGAGAGAGAGAAACAAAAAAAGAGAGAGAGAGAGATATATATATATATATAGAGAGAGAGAGAGAGAGAAAAAAAAAAAAAAAAAAAAAAAAAAAAAAAAAAAAAAAAAAAAAAAAAAAAAAAAAAAAAAAAAAAAAAAAAAACATGTACACACACGCACGGGCACGATGAGGGCGGACGAAGCCGCAGGAGCGCCCGCGGTGCCCGCTCAGCTGACTCGAACTAGTGCCCCCGTGGGCGCGCGAGACCAGCGACCCCACCCCCCCACCCCTGGGAGCAAGGCCACGGCCGACCTTTGGTGACCCACGCGCTGCGCCGCGGAGCCCCCCCCGCGAGACGCCCTGCCTCGCAGAGGGCGGCGCCGGAGCGCACGAGAGCGGGAGCGCCGCCCCGCCCAGCGGGGGCCCGGATGCGGCAGGCGAGAGGGTCCCCGCCGCGAGGCCCCCCCCCCCCACGGCGGCGCCGGCAAGGCCGCGGCCCTGCCGAGCGGGCCACGCCCGGCGGCAGACAGCGGCGGCCCGCCACGGGGCCGGCGCGGGCCCCGCTCGCGGTCGGAGGGAGTGCCCGACGAAGGAGCACCAGGCGCCCTGGCGGGAGCCGAGGGGGGGAAGCGCCGCCACCGTGCCGGTGCTCCCTGCGGGGCGCACGGGGCGGCCCGGCGGTGCTGGCGGGGAGGAACACGGTGGCGGAGGGACGGGCTCGGGCCGCGCGGCGGCGGGCCAACAGCTCGAGCTGTCGCGCATCCTGTTGGGCCGCACCGGCGCACAACACTTTTTTGATTCGCGGGTCGAGAGCGCACCTCTTCCGGTCGAAGCTCAGCGGGCCAGACCGGCGCGCAACACACCGATGCGGGCCTCAACCGCGGCCTTGCGGTCGCGGACGGGCGTGGCCTTGGCGGAGGCCGCAGCAGCGGCGGCCCAACGGCCAAGGCCGGGCTGCGCCGCCGCGAGCGCGGCCGCCGCGGGCCTGGGGCTATAGGCTATAGGGACACGAGTCGAGCGGCCGGAGGGGCGGGCCGCGGCAGGGCGACGGGCCGAGCACGGGCGGCGGAGGCGCGGGGGGGGGGGGGGAGCGATCGCCTTGGAGGCGGAAAGGGCCTCGGGCTGCGGCGCAGTGCGGGGAGAGCTGGCGGGCTCGCCGCCCTCGGAAGGCGCGGCGCGGCACGGCGGGGGCTGCTCGGGGGCCGGGGGGACCAGGGGGGCCACGGCAGCGCGGTCGCCGCCAGGTGCAGCGGTGGCGCGACGGCCCCGCGGGAGCGCGCAGCTCCGTCCTTGCTCTCCGGGGCGGGGGGGTCGGTGCCGTCGCGGATGCCGTCCATATTAGTATTGCCTCCGAGCCCGAAGGGGTCGTCTTCGGAGGCGAGGGCATCGGTGTATGATTAGCTGCGGCGCGAACAAAGCCTTGCGACAGTTTCGCCGCCCGGTGACTGTCAATCGCACTGAGGGGCTGCATGGCCGTCCATTCCTTGGCGATGTAGCCGGCGCGGCAGCGCGGGAGCAGCAATGCGCGGCACGGGGGATCGTAGATCGCCACCCTGGAATGGTGCAGCACGGCGATGTGCTTGCTGCGACGCTTGGCAGCATCGATCCTAACCTGTAGCAAGTGATCGGAATCGGTGGCGAAGCGGTCCACTCCGCAGTTGATACACTCAGCCGCGACACTGGCGCGCCTGGCGTTAATGCCTGCTTCACCGAAGTGGCGTGGCACCTATTTCACGCGGGAGATGTAGCGCCTCTTGTTGCACAACACGGTGCACCTGGAACCACAGATCGGCGCGGGACTCCTGGGGTGAGGCCAGCCTGGAGAGGATGCGCTTAAAGCCGTCCACGACCGCCCGGTTGTCCACGAAGGCGTGCGTAGGGTGCTCCGCCACGGCGACCAGGTGGAGAAGCGCCTGAATTTCAGTGCGCTGGGCACTCAGCCCGCACAAGCGGCGCAAGAGGTTGAAGCGGTGCCTGGGGCCGTACACACCGCGAGGCGGGGTCGAGCGAGCAGGGCGTGAGCTTGGTGCGCACAGGCGCCGTCGGTGGCCGCGTAGACCCACTCGTAACCCGTAGGCGGGTCAATGTAATCGTGGTAGAGGTTGGGGTCCTCGACAGATTCCTGTTGCTGGCGAACCGTGGCTGTGGCGGAGATTGGCCGAGATCTCCTTGGATCTCATTGGATCTCCTTGCTATAGTCCTCGCCGCGTTCGCGGGCAGCCGTGGGATGCATTAGGGCCGAATTGGGCCGAATGGGGGGTCGGGGAACAGGGGACGCTCGTCGAAGAGCGCAGTGCCGGTGTGCAGCGCCCGACGTTGGTTGGCCCAGCACTTGCAGCAATTACCTGGCGGCGGAACAAAGAGGACTCGTCGGTCGAGACACTGCGGATCCCCAGAATATACACCACCACCTCCATTCTTCCTCCCTCCTCCACCCTCATGTTCCTCTCCCCTTCCCCGGGAGAGGGGCAAAGAGACGAAGGGAGGGAGGGAGAGAGGGAGGGAAAGAGGATGGTGGTGGTGGTGGTGGTGGTGGTGGTGGTGGTGGTGGTGGTGGTGGTGGTGGTGGTGGTGGTGGTGGTGGTGGTGGTGGTGGTGGTGGTGGTGGTGGTGGTGGTGGTGGTGGTGGTGGTGGTGGTGGTGGTGGTGGTGGTGGTGGTGGTGTGGTGGTGGTGGTGGTGGTGGTGGTGGTGGTGGTGGTGGTGGTGGTGGTGGTGGTGGTGGTGGTGGTGGTGGTGGTGGTGGTGGTGGTGGTGGTGGTGGTGGTGGTGGTGGTGGTGGTGGTGGTGGTGGTGGTGGTGGTGGTAAATATAAATGTATATACATTCAAATTCCTCCAGACAGCCCCGATACTCTACACAGGGAGGGGAGCAGCGGGAGGAGCGGACGTATTCTATGGCGGACGCTCGGGATGAGTCCGTCTGGACCCACGCCACCCACGCCCCACGGGCGCCGTCCCACCCCTCCTCCACTCGCGCGTCCTCCCGCAGTCCTTTGACCGCGGGTGGACGTCACCTCCCAACCCTTCTGCGGGCTACTGCCCCGCAGTCCACCCAGCCACCTGCAAAGAAATGAAGAAGCAGCCGTCCCCTGCAAAGCTGCGCTGGTGCGGTCGTCCCCCCCCCCAGGGCCCGGGCCCCGTGGAGAGGCCCTTCCTTGGCCGGGGCGCCCGCGGACAATCAAGCCGGGGCTGGCGGGGAATCGCCCCTCGTGGGCCGCCCGCGCGGCAACTAGTGCGAGAAAAGGTCGGGGGGGTAGGAGCTCCACCCCACCCCTGGGTCGCCGACCCTGACCCCGCCCGCGCTCCCCCCAGAGCACACGGGGGCGGCCCTATCCGCGCTCTTCCGGCGCGCTTGCCGTAAACCGCACCCTCCCTCCAGAGGTGCGTTCCTTCTCCCCCTGCCTCTGGGTCGAGCGCCCCGCAGTGAGCTGATGGCCCTGAGCTGACATCGCCTCCGCCAGGCCCCTCTGGGGCAACGGGGCCTCGCCGGTGGGCGTGGTCCCCGCCGCCCAGGTAATTGTAGAGAGGGCCCCCGACCAGTCGGAAAGCCGCGTCTTGGCGCCCGTGGCGCGGGCGAGCCAGGTGGTGGGCAGAGCTCGAGGCCTTGCTTGCCAGCGGCCTTTTGGCGCCGGGTCCTTCTGCGAGGCGCACCCTGCGCAGGAAGCCTATCTCCGCTGTGAGGCCCAGAGCATGTGCGGCAGCATGCTGGAGGGAGACGACGGACGGCAGATGGGAGTGCCCCTGTGATCCCACACTTCGCCGAAGATCGGCCACGTCCAGTCAAGCTGGTCGATCGGGCCGCCTCCGTGTAGGTACTGGACGGCCTGGCGGAGATAGTGGGCGCACTCGCTCAGGGTGGTGCCGTTGAGGCTATACCACCACACCGCCACCTGAACTTCGGACTGGACAGACAGTGGCCTGCACTTCCAGGGCGTGCCTGGGCGTGCACGCGGCCATGAGGACCCAGAAGCACAGCCACAGAGAGAGAGAGAGAAAGAGACAGACTGATATGAGGGATGCCATAGAGGGCGTGACAGGAAGCGTGGAGGAGGGTAGAGGGGGTAGACGGGGAGGGGGAGAGCAGATGAGGGCAAGAGGGATTCGACAGAAACGGAGAGGCGAGGGGCAAGGGGATGGGGAGAGGGGGAGGAAGAATGATAAAAAGAAGAGAGAGGGGGGGGGCAAGAGAGGCGGGGGACGGGAAGGGGAACGGAGAGAGGTGGACTTTCTCTCCGCGCCCCTGTACTTTGGGAAAGGCTGGCTGCACGGCATTACTCCAATGCGGGTAATTATGGGGGGGGGGTCGCAAACCAACTTCCTGTAGATGAGCAGAACCCTGGAGCCTTCCGACGAAGAATAGTAAGGAAAGGGGAGAGGGGCACAGGAATTGCGTGGACGACTGGCAAGCTATGAAATGTTCCTCATGCTCAGTGGAAGGGATTGCAAAAGCGTGCACTCATAAAATCATGCGTGCCAAGGCTATGGCAGTTCATATCCCCCGATGATTGCTGATTGCTTACTGCGGTCGAACCTGGGCCATGCGAGCAATAAGGCTCGTACAGCGTAAATCTCTGTAGCCTTCCTCACACGAGACCCAGTTGTTGCGGCCCATTGTCCAGTCCACACCTACGTGGCGAATGTTGCCAGAGTGAGGTCCCCGGTAGACTCATCGATCTGGAGAATTTGACCACTGAAGGCCTCGATGGCTGCCGCCGCCTCTTGCTGCGAGCCCAACTCAATCATGGTTGCGTTGTATCCTGTTCCCCATTGATCATAGATTATCTTCGTCCTGACAACAGTGCAACCTGCATTGGTGAACATCGCAGTCAGAGTGTTCTGGTCAATGACTGCTGGCACATTGCTCATGTACAAATTCTGGGACGGCAGGCTATCTTTCCCGGCGTACTTCACAAACAGAGCCTTCTGGATCGACGGCGCCGCAATTGCCCCCATTGCGTTTTCATTCGGTTGGAGGGTCTTGCCGTTCATCATCTCTATCGCGAGTGCAGCATCTTCCATTGACTTCAGCCTCACCAGAGCGGCAGAAACTCCAGCTCCTCGAGTGTCGTGAAGAACTTTGGCCTGAACTACTTCAAAGCCTTGTCCTTGGAATATTTCCCTGAGCGTGTAATCCTGAATCGTGTTTGGCAACCCATGCACATACAGATTGTCCGACGGTACATTATCACGGCCATTGAACTTCACGGTCAGGGCACCAGAGAAGCACCCGCCCTTCCCGGAGCCCTTGCCCTCCTTGCCGCCCTTGCCCTTCTTGCCCGAGCCCCCCCAGCCGTCGACGGAGACCGCGCTCCCCTTTGGGGCCCCTTTCGTTCCGCCCCCGCTCCACCCACCAACAGGCCCGCCGACGTGACCCCCATGGGGCAGTCCGTTCCACGAGCTCTTGCCCTTGGCCTGGCCCGTCGAGGCTCCGCTCCACGAGTCCCGGGTGTCGCCATTGCCGCCCCCGCCCCACGAGCTGTCGAGGCTACCTTGCTCGCCCGCGTCCTGCCAATCACCGCTGCTGCTGCCCCACCACTCTAGTGGGCTTCCCTTCCCATCACTCCATGAACCTGTCGATGCAGCACTGGGGAAGCTTTTCCCCTTACTGGGCACACCTTTCGAAGTCTTTCCCTTGGAGCCCTTCCAACCCGCACTTCCGATACCCTTCGGAACTCCATCCGCATCCAGCAAAGGAGGTGCATCTACGACAAGACCAGTGAAGGCCTCAATGGCAGCCGCAGCCTCAGACTGGTCTCCGAACTGCACCATGCCTGCGCTATACCCAGTTCCCAAGGCGTCAGGCATTATCCGAGCACGCTGCACAGTGAAGCCGTGCTCAGCAAATAGAGCGGCTAAGGCATCTTTGTCCAAAGAAGAAGGGATCCCTGTGACGTAGACGTTGTCAGACGGAAGCGCCTGCGGCCCGTTGTACTTCAGCCTGAAGAAGCACAAATAGAGGAAGAACTCTGACATGTCCCAACAAACACTCGAATGGAACTATCGGCAAGCAGTTCACTGACAGAGTGGACTTTCACTTATGCAACCAATGGGTCGACGGGTGCAGTCAACACAAATACGGTTACCGAGATTCGCTGACGGGTCTTACTAAAATTCGCCGTTCCCCGCTTGCCAGGGGTGAGAAGGCGGGTGAGATGTTCGGTTGTCCTTCTCCCCCTGTCCCCCCTCCCCCCCGGGGTCCGAAATCCTGTTAGAGGAGGGGAGGAAGAGGGCCGAGCTCCTCAACGCACCTCCCAGGCCTTCAGAGCCTCTAAATCCACCCTCCGATGCCTCCAAGATGCCCAAGATGCCCTCCAAGACGGTTTAAGAAGCGACCCATACAGCCTCAGAGGCCTCAAGGACAGCTCAAGAGTACCCGAGAGACCCAAGGACAGCCGAAAGAAGTCCTAAGAGGGAGCCCAGACACGCCCTTCCCCTCACGAAAGAGAGTGATGTTCGCATCTCGCATGGTCGCAACCACAAGGTTCCAAGATAGTCCCGGAAGCTTACCGAAGGCCCCCAAGATGCCCTCAAGATGACCCAATTGGCTCCGGGATGGCCTCCAAGACGGCCCAAAAACGACTTCAAGACAGCCCAAGACCGCTCCAGGACGGCCCCAAGACTCCTCTCCGCGGCCCCGAGACCCTCCAAACCGACCCCAAGACCCCCGAAGTAACGTCAAGATGCCCAAGAGGCCCCAAGCGAGGCCCAAGAGAACTCCAACAGGGCCCCAGGCCTAATTTGCCAGACGAAGGCCACAACGCAAGCCAAGAAAATCGGTAACTCACATGTCCACTCAAATTGAAACGTCTGCGTGTAAGTCCCCCCATGGGAGACCCCAGACTCCCGCTCCGCGGGCCAACTAATTGCTGTCCTGCCGTTGGCAATATGAAATAGAATAACAAGAAAGGCCATTCGAGGATCATTATCTCACGCCCCCACCTCGCTTCCTCCTAGTGTGGCGGTTATCCTCCTCCTCCTCCTCCTCCTCCTCCTCCTCCTCCTCCCTCCTCCTCCTCCTCCTCCTCCTCCTCCTCCTCTCCCTCCCCCTCCCCCTCCCCTCCCCCTCCCCCTCCCTCCTCCCCCTCCTCCCCTCCTCCTCCTCCTCCTCCTCCTCCTCCTCCTCCTCCTCCTCCTCCCCTCCTCCTCCTCCTCCTCCTCCTCCTCCTCCTCCTCCTCCTCCTCCTCCTCCTCCTCCTCTCCTCCCCCTCCCCCTCCTCCTCCCCCCTCCTCCTCCTCCTCCTCCTCCTCCTCCTCCTCCTCCTCCTCATCATCATCAGCAGCAGCAGCATCAGCATCAGCATCATCATCATCAGCATCATCATCATCATCATCATCATCATCATCATCATCATCATCATCATCATCATCATCATCATCATCATCATCAGCATCATCATCATCATCATCATCATAATCATCATCATCATCATCACCATCATCGTCATCATCATCATCATCGGCATCAGCATCATCATCATCATCATCATCATCATCTTCATCATCATCTTCATCATCATCATCATCATCATCATCAGCATCATCATCATCATCATCAGCATCATCATCATCATCATCATCATCATCATCATCCGCATTCGCATTACATAAGCGTGCTCATTCGTGGAGCCCTCAAGGACCCAAGACACCACAACATACCCATGCCCGCAGGCCGCCCGAAGAGAAGCCCAACACTGAGGAAATGGATTCAGGAACTCCCCGACGTCCTGCCCGCTCTCCCCCTCCCCCTTTTCCTCCCAGCCCCTACTGGGCATGACACCACCCTTCGTTATCTCCCTGCGCTTTACCCTACTCGGGCAACCCCGTGCAGCCCAGATTGCCTCCGCCCTCTGTACCTTCCGCGGGTCGGCGGAATTGCGTAAGCCTCTCGAGTCAAGCGACCAAGCTCATCAGGACTCCAGAAGGCCGCCAAGCACCCCATCAGAATGACGCCAGGCACTGAAACTCGAACGACGAGCATAAGGAAAGCACGATTCCTTGCAACAACAAGTGCGCATCTTAAACACGCACCACAGTCTGAGCTTGCGCGACGCATGCACGCTGCACACGCACGCTGCGCACACGCTGCGTCAATTCATGCAAAACATGTTAGCGGGCCCTTCTGCACACACCCGCTCAAAGGGGTTGCTATGAAGCTCCGCCGCAGATGAAACGAGACGGACCCGCTGCACATGAAATACCCGCAGATAAGGACTCGCAACAGATACCACGTCTTCCACAGCATGTGGCGTTGTAGAGAACTGGCTCATGTAGGAATCAGCAAATGACGAGGAGGAGGAGAAGGAGGAGGAGGAGGGGGAGGAGAGCCCGGGGAGGGTCCCAACAGCTGCGAAAACAAAACTATCCTGGCGAAAGACCCAACCATATGCAGTTGTGAATAACACGTTGAGGGTGCCGTTTTCGGCGTGACGGACGCGCCGTAATGGGTGGGGGGGACGCATGCGGGCGGTGCCACTGACGCCTTCGGTGGGGCTCCCTGTGGGCCACGAAACGCTGCACTGGGTGTCGCCGACGCATGCGGGAGGTGTCCCTTGCTGGAGCTCCCGGTGAGGCCACGAAACGCTGCACTGGGTGATGGTTGACGCATGCGGGCGGCGCCACTGGGACCTTCGGTGGAGATCCCTATGGGGCCACGGGAGGGGGGACGCATGCGGGCGGTGCCACTGGGGCCTTCGGTGCAGCTCACTATGAGCCCACGAAACGCTGTAATGGGTGGGGGGTCGCACTCGGGCGGGCCACTGGAGTTCCCTACGGGGCCACGAAACGCTGTACTGGGGGGACGGAACGCACGCGGGCGGTGCCATTGGGGCTTGGTGGAGCTCCCAATCGATGGGGCCGCGAAACGCACTACTGGGTGGTGGACGACGCATGCGGGCGGTGCCATTGGGGTCTTTCTGTGGAGCTCCCTATCGCACCACAAAACGCTGTACTGGGCGGTGGCTGACGCACGCGGGCGGTCCCACTGGGACCATCGGTGAAGCTTCCCTATGGGGCCACGCAATGATGTATTGGGTGGTGGCTGACGAATACGGGCGGTCCCACTGGAACCTTCACCGGAGCTCCTTATGCAGCCACGAAACGCTGTACTGTGTAGCGGCTGACGCATGCGGGTGGTGCCACTGGGGCCTTCGGTGGAGCCCCCCATGGGGCAACGAAGCGCTTTGCTGGGTGGTGGTTGACGCACGCGGGCGGTCACACTGGGGGCTTCGGTGGCCTATTGGTGAGTGAAACGCAGGGAGGAAGGGCTGTGCTGGGTGGTGGTTGACGCATGTGAGCGGTCCCACTGGAACCTTCGGTGGAGTTCCCTATGGGGCCACGAAACGCTGTACTGAATGGGTGAAACGCGAAGAAGAAAGGCTGTGCTGGGTGGTGGTTGGCGCATGCGGGCGGTCCCACTGGGACCTTCGGTGGAGCTGCCTATGGGGCCACGAAACGCTGTACTGGGCGGGTGAGACGCAAGGAGGAAGGGCTGTGCTGGGTGGTGGTTGACGCATGCGGGCGGCCCCACTGGGACCTCCAGTGGACCTCCCTATGGGGCCACGAAACGCTGTACTGGACGGGTGAAACGCAGGGAGGAAGGGCTGCGCCGGGGGGTGGTTGACGCATGCGGGCGGTCCCACTGGAACCTTTGGTGGAGCTCCCTAGGCGGCCACGAAACGCTGTACTGGGCGGGTGAAACGCAGGGAGGAAAAAGGCTGTGCTGGGTGGTGGTTGACGCACGCTGGCGGTCCCACTGGGGCCTTCGGTGAAGCTCCCTATGGGGCCACGAAACGCTGTACTGGGTGGGCAAACGCAGGGAGGAAGGGCTGTGTTGGGTGGCGGTTGACGCACGCGGGCGGTCCCACTGGACCACGAAACGCTGTACTGGGTGGGCAAACGCAAGGAGGAAGGACTGTGTTGGGCGGTGGCTGACGCATGCGGGCGGTCCCACTGGGACCATCGGTGGAGCTTCCCTATGGGGCCACGAAACGCTGTATTGTGTGGTGGCTGACGAATACGGGCGGTCCCACTGGAACCTTCGCTGGAGCTCCTTATAAAGCCACGAAACGCTGTACTGTGTGGCGGCTGACGCATGCCGGTGGTGCCACTGGGGCCTTCGGTGGAGCCCCCCATGGGGCAACGAAACGCTTTGCTGGGTGGTGGTTGACGCATGCGGGCGGTCATACTGGGACCCTCGGTGGAGTTCCCGATTGGGCAACGAAACATTGTACTGGGTGAGTGACACGCAGGGAGGAGGGCTGTGTTGGGTGATGGTTGACGCATGCAGGCGGTCCCACTGGGACCTTCGGTGGCCTATGGGTGGGTGAAACGCAGGAAGGAAGGGCTGTGCTGGGTGGTGGTTGACGCATGCGGCCGGTCCCACTGGGACCTTCGGTGGAGCTGCCTATGGGGCCACGAAACGCTGCACTGGGCGGGTGGAGCGCAGAGGAAAGGCTGTGCTGGGTGGTGGTTGACGCATGCGGGCGATCCCACTGGGACCTTCGGTGGAGCTGCCTATGGGGCCACGAAACGCTGTACTGGGTGGGTGAAACGCAGGGAGGAAAGGCTGTGCTGGGTGGTGGTTGACGCATGCGGGCGGTCCCACTGGAACCTTCGGTGGAGCTCCCTAGGGGGCTACGAAACGCTGTAATGGGCGGGTGAAACGCAGGGAAGAAAGGGCTGTGTTGGGTGGTGGTTGACGCACGCTGGCGGTCCCACTGGGACCTTCGGTGGAGCTCCCCTATGGGGCCACGAAACGCTGTACTGGGTGGGCGAAACGCAGGGAGGAAAAGGGCTGTGCTGGGTGGTGGTTGACGCACGCGGGCGGTCCCACCGGGACCTTCGGTGGGGTTCTTTACGGGACCACGAAACGCTGTACTGGGTGGGTGAAACGCAAGGAGGAAGGACTGTGTTGGGCGGTGGTTGACGCATGCGGGCGGTCCCACTGGGACCTTCGGTGGAGTTCCCTATGGGGCCACGAAACGCTGTACTGAATGGGTGAAACGCGAAGAGGAAAGGCTGTGCTGGGTGGTGGTTGACGCATGCGGGCGGTCCCACTGGGACCTTCGGTGGAGTTCCCCATGGGGCCACGAAACGCTGTACTGTGTGGGTAAAACGCAGGGAGGAGGGAGGGGGGGGAGTGAGAAGGAGGCGGGAGTAACGCGGGGACCATCTCTTCAAAACGAGGACCCAACACCACAGGACGGTTGGAACAAAACATTTATTGGACTGGACACTCCCAAAGCCCGACCAGCCTCAAACCCATCCCGGTCGATGCAACCCTTCAGCCACACCCGCATCCATTATAATGTTTCCTCCTCCCCTATTCCCTCACCGTCCTTACCTTCAGCACTCGCCCTCCCCCCTCGTATAAATCCTCTGGCGTCGAACCACACGCATACACACTCAGAGAACCTCTCCTCCTGATTTACACCTTCTCGTGCTACTACTGGTTCTCATCTTCCAAAATCCCATCTGCCTTCAAACTTTGCTACGGAGCTTATTGGAGCTGGCCCTTGACGCGAAAACGCCACCTCTGCACGCCCTAATCGATACCGAGTCCAATCCCAAGATACAGACCACTGCTACCACGCTATTACACATCCCTACCACGGCATGACTTCGCTCATCTCCTGGATCGTCAATCACAAAATCCAACCTGAAACTAAACCTTTCAGCTGCTGCATTATACTGTGTTGGCCTCAACGGTCGGCGTTCATCGGCAGGAGGTTGCTCTATATCTTCCCACTTCCTTCAGTGGCGGAACGAACCAGGACAAAGCACAGAGAATCCAAAGGTTGATACATAAATTTGCAAATGTTCGAAGCTTGTCACAGATTCTGCATATGAAATACAAAAGCGGTTGAAAAGCCCACTCCTTTTACGAAATGAATTGCATCAACTGGCGGATGATGGGAACACGGACAAGAATAGTTAGTTACGCGGCAGTGCTGATGAGAAGAGAAGGTCGGGGACAAAGCCCTGCACTCCCCGAACTTATATGATGCAAAAACTGATGTCTGTATCCCTCGGAGAATTGCTCGGGGAGCGTGCTTGGTTGGAAATTCCTTATGTGAAGGATGGCATGGTCGAGCGACGCCGCGACCAACTCCAACCCGCCCCCAGCCGACCGTGACCGATCCCATCCAGCCCTTGCCCACTCACCCTGACTCACCCCCTGGACAAACTCCGTAAACGACATACTCTCCTCACAGAGCAGACGCAGCAGTCACTAGTCGAACTGCGATACCCCCTGTCCAGCTACCGAACCACATGACACGCCTCGCCTGACAAGGTGCAAACCACCTATCGCCAGTTCGATGAATTCTCTGCTCTGTTGATGCGACCCGTGTGACACCATGCGGTCCGATGGACGCACACACCATGTCGTATTCGATAACTGCGGATTCAAGACAAGGGGCGGCAAACCCCCCACCAACACCCTACAACCACCAACCGATCTGGGCCAACCCCCAGCTTGCTCCGCTGGCCAACCCTGTCCACTGCAATCCAGGGAGAAAAGCACGTGCCAGTCTCCCACCCTCGTTCAGGCCCCCGTGCCTCTTCTGGCCGACGGCGAACCCGGAGCCCTTCGCGCTGGCAGGCGCCGCCGCGGGCAGCGCCGCTGCCGCAGACTCTTTCGGTCTCAGCCATCCTGGCTTGGGCGAGGGTGCGTGGCGGTGCGGCGGCATAACACGACAAGCAGAGAAAGGGGAGGCACAGCGGCGGAATGCAGGCAAATCCGGCACTGTAACCGAGAGGCAGCTCGGTTGCGTGGAGCGCCCTGGCGGCGACCGAGAAGGATTCGGAAGGGGGAGGAGGACGAGGAGGAGAAAGAAGAGGAGGAAAAGAAGGATGAGGAGGGACTCGTGTCTTTGCCTGGAACTCTGCCAGCGGACCTCTGTCGTATCGGACAGCCTAACCATGGCCCCGCCGATATCCCCCCTACCCGCTGAGCAGAGATGTTGCCGCCAGCATGGACAAGACACGCGATACCGTTCCCACTACCGCTTGGGCCATCTCAATTCCATCTTCTGCAAAGAAAGAAGCCTTCCTGACCTGCCGAAGCCAGACATTTTCGTTTACAACTTCGTATTGCGCTACATTATGCACGCTCGCTCATCGTAAGTACGAAACCAGATCCCCTCACCCCTGTCAAATAAACTACGCTGCGCACATGCGTTTATCTAAAAGCCAGTGCGGCAACAATCCCTATTAAATAGTGGCCTTCGTGATACACGCGCGCAAATGCAAACTTATTCGAGAGCAAGTGGGGTTGCAAGCGTTTCAACGACAACCTAACAAAAGCTAGCCTGGCGAAGGACCAAAACTGCTAGTAGAGCAGGGTACAGGAAGGTGTTTAGCACGTGGGATTTTTATTGCACAAAACCGTAGACTTGGAAGAATGGCATCTCGTGCGCGTGCCCGCCAGAATACATGCGACGTTTCAAAGTAGATTCGAATACCGTTCAAAATGCGCTCATGCGCACGCGATGCGGCAACATGGCCGTGCACTGCCTCGAATAAGCCTCTGCGCGCGCGTCGGAATACATAGGAATGTTGAAAACATGCCCGCGCACGGAAGAGATGGCACCCTGGTCACGCAGTGTTAAAGACGATTAACAATAAGGTCCAAACGAAGATTGAAAGAAGACGTCTGCGAGCATGTTTGCCCACATGTTGAGTGGGGTTCTAATGTTCTCTCCACCCGCGACACAGCCGCGTCTCCCGCAACACACACCTCCCTCCCTCTTCCCTCCTCCCCTCCTCTTCCTCCCTCCCCTCGCCCACGCGCAACACGTGCACGGCATGTACATGAGACACGAGTCTACATGCAGCCGCACACATGCACACATGTGCACGCACACAGACACAGGCGCACACACACACACACACACACACACACACACACACACACACACACACACACACACACACAGAGACACACACACACACACACAAACACACACACACACACACACACACACACACACACACACACACACACAAACGCACGCACGCACGCACGCACGCACGCACGCACGCACGCACGCACGCACGCACACACGCACTCATAGACACCAGCAACGCTAGTGCACACCTGGTTCACTGCATCATACACCCACGACGTGCGCGCCACCTACTGGGCACCCACATAAGACACACTTCCAGATACAGCCGCACACGCACCATACACATGACATGCACACCAGACAACACATACGCGCAAGATTCGCAAGGCGTGGCAGGCGTGGCGTGGCAGACGTGGCATTTCCTCGACGGCACAGGGGGTGCGTTGGGGGTGGGGGCGCTATGCGCTGCAGGCTCGCAGGGCGTGGCACGCGTGGCATTTCCTCGAAGTCACAGGGGGTGCGCTGGAGGTGGGTGCGCTATGCTCTGCAGGCCCACAAAGCGTGGCAGGCGTGGCACTTCCTCGACGCCACAGGGGGTGCGCTTGGGGTGGGGGCGTTATTCGCTGCAGGCTCGCAGGGCGTGGCTGGCGTGGCATATCCTCCACGCCACACGGGGTGCGCTGGGGGTGGGGGCAGTATGCGCTGCAGGCTCGGGGTGCGCTGGGGGTGGGGGCGATATGCGCTGCAGGCTCGCGGGGCGTGGCAGGCGTGGCATCCCCTCGACGCCACAGGGGGAGGCGCTGGGGGCGGGGGCGCTAAGCGTAACACGCTCGCAGGGCGTGGCAGGCGTGGCATTTCCTCGAAGCCACAGGGGGGGTGCGCTGGGGGTGGGGGCGTTGTGCGTTGCAGGCTCCCAGGACGTAGCATTTCCTTGACGGCACTGGGGGGTGGCGGGGGGTCGGGGCGCTATGCGCTGCAGGCTCGCAGGGCGTGGCTGGCGTGGCATATCCTCGACGCCACAGGGGGTGCGCTGGGGGTGGGGGCGCTATCCGCCCTGGTCGTCCACGGCACAGCAGTCGCGGCACTTTCTTGACCGCCTAGCATCGTGCCACGCTTGCCACGCTGTGTCAGATGCAGGATATTTCGGCAGAACGCCAGGAACGTGGCCTCGATCGCCCAAGTCGCGTGCTCTGCGAGCCTGCAACGCATAGCGCCCCTACCCCCCGCGCACCCCCAGTGCCGTCAAGGAAATGCCACGCCTTGCGAGCCTGCAACGCATAGCGCCCCCACCCCCAGCACGCCCCCCGTGGGGTCGAGAAACATGCCGCCTCCGCTACACGTTGCGCTCGTAGGCGGATAAGGACCCCATCTCCAGCACGTGGCATCGAGAAAACGCCACCCCTGCCACACTTTGCGAGCGTACGACGGATAAGGACCCCACCTCCAGCACACCCCCAGCGGCATCGAGAAAATGCCACCCCTGCCACACTTTGCAAGCGTACGACGGATCAGGACCCCACCTCCAGAACACGCACCGTGGCGTCAAGGAAATGCCACCCCTGCCACACTTTGCGAGCGTACGGTCAGGACCCCACCTCCAGCACACACACCCCGTGGCAACGAGAAGATGTCACCCCTGCCACACATTGCATGCGTACGACGGATAAGGACCCTACCTCCAGCACACACCCCGTGGCGTCGAAAAAGTGCCACCCCTGCCAGACTTTGCAAGCGCGCGACGGATAAGGACCCCACCCCCAGCAAACTCCCCGTGGCATCGAGAACATGGCACCCCTGCCACACTTTGCGAGCGTACGACGGATAAGGACCCCACCCCTAACAAACACCCTGTGGCGTCGAGAAAATGCCACCCCACTTTGCCCTGTCGCCGCAACAAGAGCAGTTAGTGACGGCATCGGAAGCCTTCCCAGCGTGGTTGGCTGGCCGACGCTGCTACATGGGGTTCCGAACGAGCCCCGAGGCAGCCTTGGCCCCGCGCGCTTGGTCGATTCGACAACCGCTGCCAGTGACTTGCGGTGCATGATCGTCAACTTCTCTTCCCGGGAGCAGCTCGCGCAAGCGCATACCGACACCGTGAAGATCGGCGGCTGGACATTGCCGCTCCTACAGCGGAAGCTCCCGTCCCACAGCAATGACCAGGACTCCACCTCCTCCTCCTCCTCCTCCTCCTCCTCCTCCTCCTCCTCCTCCTCCTCCTCCTCCTCCTCCTCCTCCTCCTCCTCCTCCTCCTCCTCCTCCTCCTCCTCCTCCTCCTCCTCCTCCTCCTCCACTGGAACGGGGACTTCAGTCCACCACTGGAACGCTGCTCGGTGGAGCTCCGCTCCGCGCAGCCAGGGCGAGATCTCCCCCCGGAGACGTGTTTCGTCGAAGGGGGCGTTGGCTATATCGCCCGCTCGCCGCGACGGCCCGCCTGCCCCGGAGACGTTCCGCCGAAGAGGCACGCCGTGCCACAGGGCTGAGCCTAAACGGTGCTTCGTGTTCCTTCGTTTTGTCTTCCATCCGCCCTTCCCGCAGAACGGAGCCGGAACGACGAAAGCGGCCCACGGAACCGCAAGAACGCCGTTTGGGCCCGGCCCTGCCGTGCCACCGAGGGGTGCAGAGGGGTGGGTGAGGAGCGGGGGCAGGGAGCAAATTGGCTCCCAACCTCGCGCTTTTCGCGCTGCGCGAAGCGCGACGTGCGAATAGCTTCGCGCGCTCGCGCCGCCCCCCAGGGGAGAAGGGGAGGAGGAGGAGGAGGAGGAGGAGGAGGAGGAGGAGGAGGAGGAGGAGGAGGAGGAATCGGAGCCGAACCACGAATCGCGAGGCGCGAATGACTTCGCGCCCTCGAGGGCGCCCTTGGGGAGGAGGGAGGGTCGAGCACCGAGGACCCGAGCCTTTGAGCCGGGGGGCCTCCGAGGCATCCCGGGGCCGCTGGAGGCCTCCGGGGGCCCCCCATGGAGGCCTCCGAAGACCTCCGGGGGACCTGCAGGGACCTCGGGGGGGGAGGGCGGAGGCAGGAACGGAGGGGGAGGCGATCCTCCTTCGTCCCCCCCTCGCTCCTCCCTTTATCCTCCCCTCGCTCCTCCCTTTATCCCCCCCTCGCTCCTCCCTTTATCCCCCCCTCCGCCTTCATCCCCCCTCCCCCCTCCCTCGCTTTCCCCCTCCGCCTTCATCCCCCCCTCGCTCCTCCCTTGATCCTCCGACGGCATGGCAACATTTCAAAGCCGAGTTCGTCCTGAACCAATCGGGCCTATCATCGGATCTGCCTTGAAGGACAGGGTAGCGTGGCCTGCACAGGGATCCTGCTGCTGCTCATCGAGAGAACACGAACCGAGCAGCTCAGGCCAAAACACGGCTGCGAGCTGGCAACATGAGACAAATGGCAGCCATGGTCAATGAGAACTTCGGCGCTTCGTCTGTCCCTCTCCCGATCAGCGTTCGCCCCATGCCCCAACTCCAACTTCACGGTGCACGACAGCCCTCCTCCATTCGGACTAGGAGATACAGCAGACCTGGAACTTAAAGTGGTGTTCAAGGGATAGAGGATGCGTTAGCGATCCTAGCCCACAATGCCCACCCCCTGCCACTGCGTTCAGAAGAAGAGCTGCGAGGCCTCTCACGGAAGAGGTCCTATCACGTGTGAGTCGTAGCAGTGCAAAGGGGCTGCAATCGACAACCCCCCCTCCCGCCCCAAGGGCCCCCCAAGAGCCCCCCAAGACGCCCCAGGGGAGCCCAATACGCCGCCAAGGAGCCCCAAGACGCTCCCGGGAAGCCCCCAAAAAAGCCCCCAAGACGGCCCCAAGAGGCCCCAAATAGCGCTCCAGGGCCAGCGAAATGGGCGAAGCGATTCAATAACTGATCAAGCCTTTCGGAGCCGCCAGCGGATGCGGACGTGCGCAAGACGTCCGCCGCCGCGCCTTGTGCACAGTAGGGCGTGTTAGAATGCCTTTTTGCTGACTGGTTTGAAGGGGCCCTAGGACACACAAATAAATGCACACACACACATGAAAGGACTCCCCATATTTTCTCATATTTTCTGGGTTTTCGTCTTCCCCCCCACTTCCCATATGTTCCCAGTTTCCTGGGGATCGACGATTAATTGTGTCTGTGTGTTTTTTCTCCTCCTGATGGTTAGGTCTCTTTCGTGCCTTCCGGGGCCGACCCACCCCCCTTCTGCGCGGCGCGCATGGTCAGAGCATCGCCCGTGCTCGGCAAAAATTGTTTGGCCTCCAGGTGGCGCCAAGGCAACCAAGAGGATCCAAGATGGCCTCAAGGTGCAACCACCAGGCTGGTCCGAGATGCCTCGAAGGCAGCCCCAGATGGCCCCAGGACGGCTCACGACGCCCACGATACAGCCCAAGAGGGCTCCGAGAGGCCAAGCCAAAGCCGTTGATCCCCTCATTCCTTGTTCCCTGTTCAATGGTTCCCACGTTCCCACAGTTTCGGGCTTCCGTCAGCCCATGACCGCTCCAGGTGCATCCAAAACGAGCCGAGGGGATCTCAAGACGGCACCAAGATGGCCCCAAGATGGCCTCGGAAGACTTCGAAGGCAGCCCGAAAGGGCCTCAAGAGAGCCGCACGACAGCCCAGAGAGGCCCCCAAGACGGCCTCCGAAGGCGTCAGACGGGCCACGAGAGCCCGTCGACTGATTCAGAGGCCCCCGATACAGCCCAAGAGGGCTCCAAAAGGCCGTCTGGGAGGCCCGAAGAAGCCAAAATCATTGCCTTCCCATTGTCGGTTCAATGGTTTTCGCGTTCCCGCCTTCTCGGGTTTCCGACAGCCCAAGACGGCTCCAGCGGCCTCTAAGACAGACCACGAGGACCCCGAGACGGCCCAAGAGGCCCTCAAGAAGGCCCCTAGAGGGCCCCAAGACGGCCCAGTAGACCTCCATCAGAGCGTCCCGAGAGGACCCGAACATGGCCCAGAGAGGCCCCCCAGATGCGCCCGAAGGCGTCAGACGGGCCAAAAGAGCTCATAGGCGGCCCAGGAGGCCCCGAAGAGGCCCCAAGAGGCCCCAATGAGGCCCTTCAGGAGGCCCCCGAGAGGCACCTCAGAGGCCCCCAAGAGTCGAGGGAAAGAGGTCGAGCTGAAGACCCAGTCGGACCGCGCGCTGAATTGCAGTGGGTCGTGAAGTCAACCTCCCTCACGCTGCGATGTTGCGCTGGCACGGTGGCGGGGTTGTCGCAGGTAGCTGGTAATAATTGCCAGCATCCAACCAGACGAACGGCGCGCCTTGCGACCGCTCCGCAGAGACCAAACGCCCAGCACATGCGGGAAACAACATAATGCATGTTTTCCACACCCTGATTGAACTCACAAGCCCTGTAGCCTACAAGTTAAACGAATCGGACAGTCGTGCGCTGTCAAATCAAACGTCGAACGAATTCCAGGTTCACATGACACAACGACTGAAACTCCGTCTGCGTCAGAGAAGCGCTGCTCGCCGTGGCCGCCCCGACGAGTGAAGGCTATCCTGGCGAAGGCTCCAACCATACGCAGGCCTGGGAATCGCAAGGCAGGTGGGGCAAAAGAGGCGAAGCTCCCTGGGGCCACGAAACGTGCGAGGGGTGCACAGAAATTAGCGTGGGCACACATGTTTTGATCCGCGGGTCGAGAGCGCACCTCTTCCAGTCGAAGCTAAGCGGGCCGCGCGAAGCTTGAAGTAGGCAGAGAAGAGGAGGGAGGAAGCGGCGGAGCCTCAGAGCGAGGCCGAGGGGAGGCATAGCCTCGGATACAGGCGGTGCCGAAGCCGAAGTTCTTGCAAAGGGACGCCTTCGGCAGGAGCCCGGTGGTAGCGTGGGCACACATGCGAACCTTGCTACTGGGGCCATCGGTGGAGCTCCCTGTACGGCCACGAAGCGCGGGAGGGGTGTGCCGCCAATCGGCGCGGGGCACGCACGCGGACACTGCCGCCAGGGCCTTCGCCGGAGCTCCCTGAAGGGCCACGAGACGTGCGGAGGGTGTGCCGAGATCGGCGTCGACGCGCACGCAGAGCCTGCCGCTGGGGCCTTCGCTGGAGCTCCCTGATGGGATACAAAGCAAAACGTGTGAGGCGTGTTCCGAGAAGAAACATGAACACGCACGCGGACCCTGCCACTGGCGCCTTCGCTGGAGCCCCACATTCTGAGGCCACAAGACGCGTGGTGGGTGCGCAGCAGTGGGCGCGGGCGTCCGCGCGGACCCCACCAGAGGCCTCTGCTGGGGCTCCCCTGTGGGGCCGCGAGAAGGTGCAAGGGGTGTGCCGAGATCGGCGTGGGCTCGGACACGGGCCCTTCCACTGGGGCCTGCGGTGAAGCTTCCCAAGGGAGCACGCAAGACGTGACGGGCGCGCCGAAATGGGCGCGGGCACGCATGTCCGCTGCATCCTCTGTGGGAGCTCTCTATGAGGCCATGAGGCATGTGAGGAGTGTGCCGAAGTCGGCGCGGGAGCACGCACCGCGGACCCTACCGCTGAGGCATCCAGTGGGGCCCCCTCTGGGGGCCAATTGGCGTGGGCACGCATGCGGACCCTTCCACTGAGGCCTCTGGTGGAGCCCCCTTCGGGGCCACGAAACATGTGAGGGGTGTGCCGGCGCAGAGATATGCGGAGGGCAGAGACAGGAGGAGGGGGGGGAGAAAGAAGAAGGAAGGGAGGACGCGGGGACCTGTTGATTCGGAACGAGGGCCCAACACCACAGGATGTTTGGGAATATGCACTTGCCCCATAGTTTTCGCCGCCGCCAGTACAAAGCCGAACCACACAACGCACCAACTAAGAACTGCGCCCGCTGCTCAGAAGTGCTGGATCCTAGGCGCAATCTCAAGCTCTGTGCGAATACTCAGGCACTTAAGCATCTGAGTGGGAAGTACCCGCAACAGCTGCGAGCCCTCCGAACACACTTGGCACTGTTCGCTCCGAAATGTTGCATCAGCCTTACATGGAAATACCGCACTAGGCACTAGGCTCACCCGACCACGCATGTAGAACCAGACTCTGGTGGAGCCTCTGGCTCCTGGGCGGGCGTGAGAGGTGATGGGGGCGGGCGATGGCAATCGAGGTTGCACAGCATCGAACGGCAAGGGAAGCTAGGACGAGTGGAAACCCGCACGAAGAGCATCTGCGACGTAATTGCGAAGCCTCTGCTGCGGGCCTCCCTCCATCAAGGCTCGTTGTCCCTGCCACACTACATTTGAAGGGGCCCCAGGACACACAAATAAATACACACAAATAAACAGATTCCCTATATTTTTCCATATTTTCTGGGTTTCTGTCTTCCCCCCCACTTCCCATATTTTCCCATCTTTTGTGGGGGATCTAGGATTAATTGTGTCTGTGTTTTTCTTTTCCTCCTGAATATTGCGCACGCATGGCCCGTTCCCAGCGGTGGAGATCACGACCGAGCTCTCAACATGGTCCTGCTGCGTGCACTCACTCGTGCGCCTCGCTCTGCCCGCGCGTGGACATGGAAAGGTGGCATCGTCATGCGGCCTGGCCAACGAGAAGAAAAACAAAACAAAAAGCTCGCCTCCTCGAAACGAGGGCAGCGAGCTGCACAGCTGAAGCAACGTACCCCGGCTCGCTCAGCAGAGAGCCTGGCCGATTCCACGGCCATCTACGTACAGGGCAGTTTTTAATACATCGGATTTGTAAACATATGGGATTTTTACACATGATTAATTATGCATACATTTATGCATGAACTCATCGTTGCTTTTAATATTAAGCCCCTGCATTTTGAATACATGATCGGCACGCGGAGCATGTATTAAAAACGGCACTGTACGTGGCCACCTGTTGACGCAAGGGTTGCCCGAACAGGCGGAGACGAGCAGACGGAGCGGCTCCCGTCGTCGACGCTGCCTGAGCCGCCCCCCTCCCCACTGAACTCACTCACACCGGGCCGAATCTACCATACAGGGCAGTTTCTAATACATCTGATGATTTTATATACAATATATACATAAATAAATATAAATGTGACATGCATGATGAATTCAGGAATCAAATTATGCATGAACTCATCGTTGTTTTTGATACTAAACCCTGCATTTTTGATACATGATCCGCACGCGGAGCATGTATTAAAAACGGCACTGTAGGCAGAAGCTGGTTGGATATCCGTCGTCGTACCCGTATCTCCTATGCGGAGGCTCAGGACGCAAGGCAACATCGGTGAAACGGAACTGACCCCAGTCCATCACTGACTCGATCACTGGCGCTTCCAATAGCAGATGTAAGGCACAATTTCTTATAGGAGTCGGTGGAAGGTCAACCAAAAGGACGAGATGGCGTCCCGTGAGCAACAGACAACGCACTAGTTGTCGACATGATCCAACAGGACATTGCCCAAAGACAGCTGCTGCTGGCTCTCCTGAGGCTCTGCGGCACTCTCCTCCACCATCTGAGGATCCTCGTCCGCACGCGCCTCCTCACCATCTGCCAGCGGGCCCAGCTCGTCGATGGAAGCTTCCCTCGGCGCCTCCTCCTCCTCTTCCTCAGCATCCTCTACTTCCTCGGGACGTTGTCCTGCCTGCGAGAGTTTTTGAACCCGTTCGCGGCAAGGCCAGGAAGAGGCAAGGAAGTCAAGAATCACACGCACTGAATCCAACACGGCCGCTGATGAGGGGATGGAGGGAGGAAAAGAGTGGGAACGGAGGAGGGAGGCCGTACGCCAGTCTTGCACCGCGCCTGCACCGGAAGATCGGGCCACCCGCGATACAGCGACATCGTGGCACGACTTCGCCGAGGACCGCCGGCAGCTTTCAGCGACGACTTCTTTCGTACGACGACTTCTTTTGCACGACGACCACGACGACCACGGCGACGGCGGCGGCGACGGCGACGGCGACCGGCCGCGCGCAGAGGGGGCCGCTGCGCCGCCTCGGCCGGCCCGGGGGCGCCCGGCCCCGGCCGCCCGCCCGCGGCAGCTCCCGGCGCGCCCGCCGCGGCGGCGGGCGGCGCCGCCGCGGCGCCCCGGGCGAGGGCCTCCTCCGCCGCCGCGGCCGGCGCCGCCGCGGGGCCCGGCTCCGCAGCCGCGGGGACCCGCGCCGCCTCGAGAGGCACTCGGCGGCCACACGCGGGCGAGTGGGAGGCCACAAGGGAGAGCTCCTCCTCCTCCTCCTCCTCCTCCTCCTCCTCCTCCTCCCTCCTCCTCCTCCTCCTCCTCCTCCTCCTCCTCCTCCTCCTCCTCCTCTCTCCTCCTCCTCCTCCTCCTCCTCCTCCTCCTCCTCCTCCTCCTCCTCCTCCTCCTCCTCCTCCTCCTCCGCCTCGAGAGGCACTCATCAGACACACGCGGGCGAGTGGGAGACACCAAGGGAGACACGGAGGGGGAGAGAGGGGGAGGGACCGAGGGGGAGGGAGAGGAGGGGCGTCGTGTGCGTCTGTGTGCGCGTGCGGCGCGCTCGCTGGGCCTGACCTGCGCCGCGGCGTGGCCGCGACGCCACTAGAGTGCGTGCGCGCGCGTGCACATTCGAGATGCCTCCCCCCGGATACACCAGTCTGGCCATCCTCCGAGCACGCGGATCTGACCTCCCGACAACGTTCGGTTCTGGAGCACATCTCCAAGACTGATCCGCCTACGCAACAACCCGAGCAGAAAGCACGGCGACACAACCAACGCCGTAACGAAGTAACTGCCCTCGTGATGTAGATTCAGATGGATATTCCAATGTATAGTTATGAGCGGCATGTGATGCCCATGTTGCCTTAAAAATGCGACACCAGCTTTACAATGGCGCGACTTTTCTGACACGGCCGGTAGGTTAGGAAAGACGTGGTGGAAAGGGGCTAGGTTGGCACCTTCTCTGAGCAAGGAGGACGGGCAGGGTGTGGAGGAAGCGCAGAGCGGGCAAATCCTCCGATCATGGAAGAGGGGGAAGGATAGTAGGAGGAGCAGGACGGGCTGCCCGTTGGAAGAGCAAGGGCAGGGCGCGCACCCTGTCTGAGCCTCATGAGATCACCGCTTCACCTCGACCCACGCGGAGCCCCAGCCCTGTCACACAAGACAGTCAAACTTGACCGATGCGAAAACGCCGAGTCGCAGTTGCGACTCGAGCGGGAAAAGCCCTCGAGGCTCCCGATCGCGCGCGCCTCCTGCGCAGGCTGCCGTCCGAGCAGCAGCCGATTCTGCGCCTCGAACCGCCGCGCCAGCTCCAGGTCGTCCTCCCCCCCCTTTTCGCTAAACCAGACAAAAAGCGCCCTGCGCTCGCACATGCCCCAACGTGCGCGGCTTAACCGGGCTAGTCCGGCTGAGGCTTCTCTCCCTTCTGCTGCGACGGTCTGTCCCATGGAACTCCGTCCACCAACGCGCCGCATGCAGCGCGATTGCAGCGTGCTGGCGGGGGCTGAACTCCGTCGATTCTTCGCGCACCGTCCCGAACAGCGGAGTCTCTCCAGAGCAAGAAGTGCAGCAGCAACAAGTCAGGCGCAGCAGCAGCGGCGGAAGCACGAGGAGTCCAAGGAGGAGGAGCAGCAGCAGCAGGGGCGAAGGATAAACAGAGGGAGGAGGACGACAGCGAGCTGGTGACGCAAGAAGGACAAGGGGTCAGAGCACGAAGCCAAAGGCGACGACGCGGAGATCGCACAAACATTCCCAAAGCAGTGCTTGCGCTAAGGGCGTCGTACCTGTGCAGTAAAGAATCGGCTGGATGTTCGGAAGGCCACGCATTGCACCATACCTACATGTTGCACCCCATGTGGCACTCATCCAGAGTGCAAGAATCCACTCTTTGGTGCCCAAGCTGGCTAACGTCGACTGTAACCTTCATGTGGGCTGTCTTCGGCCAGAGGATTTGCGCTACTCCACTGCAGCGTCTCTTTACCTGTCTTTGCCACTTTCCAGAAGATCTTTGCTGTCGGCTGTCAGCCTTCAGTCACCCTCCAAATTAGAAGGCTCATCTCCCTCCGCCTCCTGCTCCTGCAACTTCTCCTTCTCCTCCTTCTCCTCCTCGCTCATGATTACCATCCCGCCTTGTCCTTCCAACCCCATCCTTCCTCCATCTTCCTCAGCCTCCTACTCCCTCCCTCCGCGTGCTCCTGCCATCCCCAATTGCCACCCCCTCCTCACCCTCCTCACCCTCATCCTCCTCATTCTCCTCCTGCTCCCGCTCCTGCTCCTGCTCCTGCTCCTGCTCCTGCTCCTGCTCCGCCTCCTCCTCCTCCTCCTCCTCCTCCTTCTCCTCTTCCTCCGCCTGCTCATCCTCCTCCTCCTCCTCCTCCTCCTCCTCATCCTTTTCTTCCCTCCACCTCGCCCCATCAGGCACGAGGTTAAAGCTGAACCGTCGCACTCGAGGCAGGACATGTCCTGTCCTCGGGATGCACACAGGTGGTATACCAGGCCTCTGGTCCCACCATTGGGGTTCAGGGACACATCAAGCCATATCACTTCAGGCATCCTCCTTCCTCGTTCTCCCTCCCCCTCCTCCCCTTCCTCCCCCTCCTCCACCTGCCTCCGTCTCCTCTTCATCCTCAACCTGATCCATCCTCAGCATCCTCCTCCTCCTCCTCCTCCTCCTCCTACTCCTCCTCCTCCTCCTCTTCCTCCTCCTCCTCCTCATGCTCCTCATTATCATCCATCCTCCTTATCATCAAAAACCTCCTTCTCCTCCCAGGCGGGATGAGAGATCTGCTCCTCCGTTCGCCTCCTCCCCCCGATTCAGTCGTGATTTGATTCTCCGCCTCATCACCATGCCCATCACACCACCACCACCACCACCACCATCACCACCACCATCGTCACCGTCACCACCATCCTCGTCAGAGTCGCCATCGTCCTCATCATCAGCATCCTGTGCATCGTCATCATTCGCATCGGCATCATCCTCATTATCAGCATCCTCATCATCATTAGCATCAGCAGCATCAACATCAGCATCAGCATCAGCATCAGCATCATCATCAGCATCATCAGCATCATAATCATCATCATCATTATCAGCATCAGCATCACCATCAACAACAGCATCATCAGCATAGGCATCATCATCATCATCATCATCATCATCATCATCATCATCATCATCAGCAACATCATCAGCATCAGCAGCATCATCAGCAGCATCAGCATCGTCATCATCCTCAGCAGCAGTGTCCGCACCGCCACCACCACCACCATCAGCGAAATCAGCATCGTCATCAGCATCAGCAGCATCATCACTAGCATCATCAGCATCAGCAGCATCAGCATCAGCATCAGCATCATCAGCAGCATCAGCATCAGCATCAGCATCAGTATCATGATCATCATCAGCCGCAGCAGCGGCAGCATCATCAGCATCATCAGCATCGTCATCACCAGCAGCAGCATCAGCAGCATCAGCAGCATCGTTTTGCCAATACCAGCAGCATCAGTAGCATCAGCGTCATCATCATCAGCATCATCATCATCATCAGCATCATCATCATCATCATGATCAGCGTCATCATCATCATCATCAACATCATCATCATCATCATCATCATAATCATGATCATCATCATCATCATCATCGTCCTCATCGTCATCGTCATCGTCATCGTCATCAACATCAACATCATCATCAGCAACAGCATCATCGTCGTCATCATCATCCTCATCCTCGCCATCATCATCAGCAGCAGCAGCATCGCCATCCGAATCGTAACAACCATGTCCATCACCAAAAACAACATTATCATCAGCAGCATCAGCAGCAACATCGTCGGCATCATCGTCAGCATCAGCATCAGCGCCGTAATCATCATCATCATCATCATCATCATCAGCAGCAGCATCCTCATCATCATCATCATCATCATCGTGGTCGCCATCGTCGTAAGCATCGTCAGCAGCTCCAGCCTCGTCATCATCGTCATCAGCATCACCATCATCAGTAGCATCAGCAGCAGCAGCAGCCCCATCAGCATCATAATCGACATCGACACTGTCATCGTCAGCATCGTCGCTCTCAATATCACCACCACCATACCGTCGTCATCATCGCCATGATCATCGACAGCATCATCAACAGCATCAGCATCAGTATCATCATCGTCATCATCATCATCATCAGCAGCCGCATCGTCATCATCATCATCACGATCATCACCACCACCACCATCATCATTATCATCATCAGCAGCATCATCATTACCATCAACGGCAATATCATCACATCCACCACCCCAGTCAGCATCCACGCATCATCGCCATCACCAGCATCAGCAGCAGCATCATCGTCGTCATCGTCATCATGCGCCGTATCAGCAGCAGGATCGACAACAAGACCATCATACTCCGCCATCATACCAGAAACATCATCAGCGACAGCAGCATCATCACCAGCAACGTCATCATCATCTGCATCATCAGCAGCATCATCATTGTCATCATCACCATCAGCATCAGCATCAGCATCATCATCAAAATCGCCAGCATCGCCGTCCACCGTGCTTCTTCCTCCACTTGCTCCTCTTCCTACCGCTGCACCTCTTCCTCCTTCTCCTCCTCCTCCTCCTGCTCCTTCCCCTTCCTCCTCCTCCTCCTCCTCCTCCTCCTCCTCCTCCTCCTCCTCCTTCTCCTCCGCCTCCGCCTCCACCTCCTCATCCGTATCCTTCTCCGTCCCCTCCTGACCCAGCAGAACGAGGAGGATGAGGAGGAGGAGGAGAAGACAGAGGCAGGAGGGGGAAGCAGAGGCAGGAGGAGGAAGGAGGAGGAGGTCGGGGGGGGAGAAGGAAGGAGGAGAGGATGAGGAGAGAGGAGGAGGTGGAGGAGAAAGGAGGAGGAAGGAGAGGATGAGGAGAGAGGAGGAGTAGGAGGAAGGAGGAGAGAGGAGGAAGGAGGAGGAGAAAGGAGAGATCGGGGGAGGAAGGGGGAGGAGAGAGAGAGAGGATGGGGGGAGATGGAGGAGAAGAAATAGGAAGACGAAGAGGACGACGAGGATGATAATGTCGCGGGATGGGGTAAAGGTCAAGCGAGCCAGCTCTAGCAGGCCAGCGGGCCCGGCACACATCTCCCCCTTCAGGGAGGGGGGAAGAAGCCAGGTGCGATCGCACCACACGTATCTGACATCCTACCCCTCCCACCCATCCCTTCCCTTCCCGTTGCGCTGATGTTGTCGTTATCTGCGGCCGGGCTTCACAGCGAACCTGAAACCCCAAAAGGGCACCATGTTGTGATGGGCGATCAGAAAAAGGGTAGCTGCATATACGTTGGAGGGGGAGGAAGAGGTGGTGGCGGACGAGCTGGAGGATGAGCAGGAGGAAGAAGGGGAGTTTCGGGAAGGGGGAGGACGATAAGGAACAGCAGCAGGAGCAGAAGTGGCAGGAGCGGGAGGAGCAGGGAAGGCTCAGGGAGACAACGATGAGGAAGGACTCGGATCCAGATGAGTGGTCCGAGCAGGGGCGCGAGCGTCATTCTGAACAACGGGGGCAAAGCGCCGATCCTAAAATGAGGCGCACGCTGCAGCGGAAGCACCATATTGGAACACCGAAAAAAATTCTGCCTCATTCATGACAACGAGAAGCGCTGGAAATCCTGTGCACCACAGTACACGGACAGGGCAGACTCTTCCAGGATGCGTTCGAGGGGGAGAGGAGAGTAGTATTCATTTTGAGTATCATCTTGGAAAAGAGGGAGGAGGGACAAGAGGGAGTGCGGAGAAAGAGGGAGGAGGGAGGAGGGAGAAGCTGGGAGGAGCTAGACGACGACGACGACGACAACGACGACGACCCAGCAGGCGCGCGCTCCTGGGCGGCGCGGGCGGTGGCCGCGCCGAAAGCGAGGGCGGACTGTTCCAGCAGCTGCCCCCCCAGCGCGGCCGCGTCAGGGAAGGCGACACCGACGCCGACGCCGCCGCCGCCGCCGACGCCGACGCCGACGCCGACGCCGACGCCGCTGCCGCCGCCGCCGCCTCCGCTGACTTCGACGCCGACGACGACGCCGACGCCGCCTCCGCCGCCGCTGCCGCCGACGACGACGACGACGACAACGACGACGACAACGACGACACGGACCCAGACGCAGATCCAGGCCCAGACCGTCTCGCATCGTGAAAAAAGGATGGGAGATTATGGGCCGTTTTCGGACCCGGAGGGCCATAACCGGCCCTGGGACCGTTCAAGACACGCTGTTGGATGAAAAGTCAGCCTTTGGGAAAGAATCGCGACCTCGGGGGGGCCACGTTGTGGAAAAAAACAATGTCTGATATCTGGGGGCCACAGGACAAGATCCTGACATCTCTCGCGCTTTCGAAGGCCTTCTGGGGACCTTGCTGTCGCCACGGCAGGATCTACGTCGAAGAACGAGTCCGAAAATATTTCTGGGATTCGATGGTAGATGCGACGACGACGACGACGACGACGACGACGACGACGACGACGACGGCGACGACGACGGCGGCGGCGGCTGCGACGACGACGACGACGACGACAACGATAATCACCGCCACCACCACCACGGCCACGAAGATGACGACGCCGACGGCGACGACGACGACGTCGGCGGCGGCGGCGGCGGCGGCGACGGCGAAGGCAGCGGCAGGGACGGGGTTCTCGAACGTGTTCGGTGCACTCGAAAAATTTGCGGAAACTTGTGCCGCCCACTTTGACACCCGCTCCGTCTCACCTTCGCGCACCCAATGCGGCCTGACGGCCTCCTGGGCGCAGGATCAAAAAGGAGAAGGGAGGGGGAGGGGGAGGGGAAAGAAAAGGAGGAGGACGAGGAAGTAAAAGAGGAGAACGAGAAGGAGAAGGTCGAGGATGAGGAGGAGGAGCCCCCCGTTCGCCCCCCCCTGTGACTGCCTTGGGAGCGTTCCCTGTCTCATTCCCTCTCTCTCTCTGCCTCTCTCTCTCTCTCTCTCTTTCTTCTTTTCTCTCTTCACCATCTGTATACATCGCTCTCTCTCTCTCTTTCTCTCTCTCTCTCTCTCTTTCTCTCTCTCTCTCTCTCTCTCTCTCTGTCTCTCCATTTCTCTCTTTCTATATATACATATGTACAGTAAATGTCGCTCGCACCCACGGGCGAACATCCACAGGGTCCTCTAGGAGAGCCTACGCGGGTGCTCTGGAAAGCTCGACAACGGCCATGGCTGCTCGGCGAATTACGTAAAGATGGCCAGCCCAATCTTCCTCTACGAGCGAGGGGGGGCGGCGTGGTCGCTCGAATGGCATTGCGAATGCGATAAGCAACAACCAGAACCTCGACAACTCGTGCATTCGGGAGGGGGGTCCTGACATACGCGGACGATATCTGATCACCGTACCGAGCCTCGAAATTTCAAGGGGCTCCCTGGCGTCGCCGAATGTCAACTGCGTCGACGCGCCCACTTGCGAGCCCAATAAAGAAGCGCACGCCTCCCACTCAGACCAGAAAGGCCGACGAGAAGACTCGACGGCCAATTCTAAGGCCGCCGATGAAAACCAACCGCGGTACGGTGCATAGCTTGTGTTCTGGGCGATTCAGCCATCAATATGTAGCGTTGCTGTCGTGAGTCGGGCTCCCGGAACCTTTTTCCACACGGCGGGTTGCCAGGCGGGAGAGGAGGTCCCCAGGAGGTCCCGAAGAGAGGGCCAGAAGCCAGGCTCAGCTCCGATCGCCCACGCCATCAGACGAGGCGTGAGAGTGAGGTGGAGGCGACCGGGAAACAGTGAGGCGTGCAGCGAGGCTGCGAGGACTGTCTGCGCCTGCACTCGCGGGGGTCGCGCATGCTCCCGCCTCGCGCAGGCGGCGCAGGGCGACACGCCCAGGGCCCGCGAGGGCGGGCGGGCTCACGTCGGCAGCCCACGGGGGGGCCGCGCCTCCTCCTCCTCCTCCTCCTCCTCCTCCTCCTCCTCCTCCTCCTCCTCCTCCTCCTCCTCCTCCTCCTCCTCCTCCTCCTCCTCCTCCTCCTCCTCCTCCTCCTCCTCCTCCGTGTCGGCGCCCTTGAGGACAGCAACGAACGGCCTCGTCCACCAGAACGTCGACGCCGTCTTTCTGGTGCCGTGGGCGGCCAGCGTGCCGTGGTCCTCCATCTGCCTGGACGGCCAGTCGTACGCGGAGCGCCAATTCGAGATCGTGTTCTCGGCTGTGCGCATCAAGGTGGCCGTGCCCACGGCCAGCATCGAGCACGGGCGGAGTCTGTCAGTCTGTCTGTATGTATGTATGTATGTGTGTATGTATGTATGTATGTATGTATGTATGTATGTATGTATGTATGTATGTATGTATGTATGTGTGTATGTATGTATGTATGTATGTATGTATGTATGTATGTATGTATGTATGTATGTATGTGTGTATGTATGTATGTATGTATGTACGTAC